CCAATTACCCAGACCTGGGCGGATCTAGAAAGTAGAACCCCCTTAAGGGTTCCTAGGAATTACCCAATAGTAGTATAGGGTACCAAATTGGGGGTTCTACTTTCTAGATCCTCCCAGGGGTCTGGGTAAGGGTACCAGGAGCGTCTTGGCTTCCATGCAGAAAAAAGTCCAGGCCACCAAGGACCGAGCCCTAAGCCTTCACATAAGTCTTTGCCTAGACCCCAAATGTATGTAAAATAATGACCTTCATGGCTGTTATGATGGGTTTAGGGCTATTATTTTACATACTTTTGGCGCTAGGGTTTAGGCCCTATAAGCTCCCAAACCCTGAGCCCTAAACACTGGACGTCCCGGTAAGACCGCTATATCTCCTTCCAACTGACTCCCTAAACCCTCGACCCTCAACCCTATCTCTAAACCAGTTTGTTCATTTTCCCCATTTGGAAGTCCAATAGGCCCTAAACCCGAAACCCTCCATTATTTGTGCCGTTGTCTAAACTCCTAGTATCCCCCTTAATAACCCCTATAATAATCCCCTCTATAACCCCCCTTTAAGGAGTTTAGAGTATGGCTTATTTGGACCCTGAACCCCAAAAACCCTAAAGCCTCCCTGCAACCAGGAGACCATGTTTCTGGAGAAGGGCTTGGGCAAGCGGTTTCCAATACTCCGCGGTGGAAAGCCGGATGCCAAATGTCAAGGCGAGACTTCCTTGTTTGGGGGATTGATTGGGGGTTTAGGGTTTAGGGTTTGAGGGTTTAGGGTTTCCGGGGGTTTCCCAAAGTTAGGGTTTCTCTTTTGGCGGATATATGGTGATATATATATATATGATATATATATATATACATATGTACAGGGGCTTTATAGGGTCTAGGGATTAAGGTTTAGGGTTTCCTAAAATTAGGGGTACTTTTTGGCGGGCTCCCGAAATGAGGATTATAGCAGACAGGCGTTTATATTTGGGTTCCCCCTATTTATGGGAACTACCACTCACGGGGTGCAGGGATTAGAGCTGGCAGTTTAGAGTGGATGTTGGTTGTGACACGGCTTAGGGTCTGGGGTCTCGAACACCCACGCGACCTCCCTCTCATTTGAGTTTTTGTAGACAATCTGGTTGCGCGTACCCAAACCTTCCTATGTAGTTCCTTTTTGGGTGGCATAATATAAATCCATACCAAACCACCATAACAAACCCAAAATGGAACTGCATAGGAGCCCTAACCCCTAAACCCTTTTTGCAACAGGCTTGCAGAGATCCTCGCCTGGAAGGCCTCACCGAGCTCCGCTCAAGTTAGGCTCAGAACTGAAGTGACTGAACTGACTGACAAATGCATTAACTGTAAACCGAGAACATTGCGCAGCGCTATTCCTGACATCTTTAAACTGACCTTTGTTCTGCAGCGTCTTCACTCTCACAAGAATTCAAACGTTCTGCGCGCCTATTCTGCTTCAACGCCTGTCGATTCAGCCTATGTTCCTCCATGAGAACATGCACTGGAGCGCAGACCGAACAACTGTCACGTACCTGAGAAAGCGTTTGACCATCTGAGCTGGCACTGCTAGAGCTAATGGTTGACTCGCGGGCCTCAAGGCCCCGAATCCGGTGATTCAAGTAACCAACCTCCTGTGCCAGAGTTGATTCCAGGCGGCAAACTGCCATCTCACGCTCTTGTAGTCCTGACTGCAACTTCTCGATCAACTTACCATACTCCTCTGATGCTGTCTTCAACAACCCCTCTGCGATCGTCTTGCATTCTTGGTCAGTGTAGATGCGGCCGTCAGTTTGTGTCTGCTCATCAAAGCTCACACTACCTTGGCACTCTTGAAGAGAATCATACAGGGAAATGACCCGTCGTTGCACAGCAGCCATCGCTGGATCTTCATGTTGTGATGTGACCCGTATGCAGTGCAAAGCAGCCTTGAGGTAATTTGTTGTCTCCGGCACATCGAGCTTGTAGGAGGTTCGCAATGCATAAGCCACACACGAAATCAGCCTCTGCTCCATTGCCATGGCTAACGATAAGGAGTGCGAGATATTCTGAATTTACATTTGCCATTTGGCCTCGTAGCAAAATGGCTTGAGCCAAAATGGCCGTACTTGAGCCGTAGCCCCTAAGCCCCAAACCCTTGTCGGTTCACACGGCACCTCATGGTTTCTCTGAGGTTTCAGTTTTCAAGGTAGGGTTTAGGGTTTAGGATTTAGGGTTTAGGGTCCAGGTTTAGGGTTTAGGATTTAATTAGGGTTTAGGGTTTAAGGTTGTCGAGGCAAAACCAATTGGAATAATGTCTAGCGCGTAATCATGCAAGTGCTTTATAAAGAGAACCAAGACGCTCCTAGTACCCGTACTTGGGGACATATGGCTTACTGGGTACTTAGGCCCTAACAGTGGGGAGGAAGTGTATGGAAAGACATTATCCAATCTGTAAGAGGAATCCCTCAATCCCAACCCTAACCCTTAACCCTAAAGTCCATTTCTAAGTAGATAGAATATGGGGTATATGGGGATCTTATCATAATATACCCAAGGCCACAGTCTATCTACTTAAAGGGGGACTATAAACCCTGAACTGTATCAAACGAGGCTCGTATCATGCACGAGCAGCGCATGACCAGATGCAATTCTTGCGGCATGTCCAGTAGTGGGTCTTCTGCCTCCCCGGGTGTGAGGACTTAGGGGTTTAGGGTTTCGGATGTAAGGTTTAGGGTTAGGGTGAGGAAATTCGGTTTAGGGTTTATGGGGTTAAAAACAACAAGGACGTCTGTAGGGTTGAAGGTTTAGGGCTCAACTTTTGCCAACTGAGGGTGTCAGCGCGTCTTTGGGGTTGAAGGTTTGCGTATTTAGCTTTCAAGGGCATGTCTTGATTAGACGCCCCAACTCGCCAGTAGTAACCTTTGAGGATGAAGCTAATTCTAGCGGCATCTCTCTAGGTTCCTTATGTAGCACGATTGCTGGGTTGGGGCCTAGCCTAAACCCCTAATCCGTAAGCCGTTGATTAAGCCTTCTTTCAATGGTGTTCTGAAATCAGTTTGTAGTTTTTTTTCATAAATCCATTCTGGGTACAGTTCCCTTCCCGGACAAGTATATAAACCCTCAAACCTACACCCTGAAAACCTTGAACCCCAACCCTAAAGTCGACCATAAACCCTGACTCCAATTTCGGGGTTTAGGGTGTAGGGTTCATGGGGTTCAGGGCTTACGGGGTCTAAGGTCTATAGGGTTTAGGGTTGCTAGCGTTTAGGGTTTAGTATATGGAATGAACTCTGGAATATCCATTATTGTAGGGTATGTGCTTGATGGGTTTTTTGTCAGGGCCGTGCGCG